GTATTCTGACATTAGCTCATTTATTGTAACGTTTTTATTTAAACAAAATTTGTACAAGTATAATATACAGTTGGATAATGATATAATGTGCAATTAAGTATAATATATTTGTAAATATCGTGAATCAATATGTAATACTGATAACGAATGATATCTTATTCATTCCTTTGTTTTCATTAATAAGTTATCCTGAACAAATATTTATAAATCAATTAAAATGTCCAATAAATTTTTATATTTTGCATATGGAAGTAATATGTTAACGAAAAGAATACATAGTAATAATCCAACTGCAGTACGAAAAGATTTTTGAAGGTAAATATATATTGCTGAAGCGAATTTTCCACGTGCGCGGCTACTACATTCATTTTTATTTTAAACAACAGAGAATTTATATTATGTTTTATAAAATTTTATTATTTGATTTATTATTTATACAAATGCCATTATATCAGAATTTCAGATTAGACTTTATGACACATTCAAAAAGATGGAGGTGGATGTTCAGCAACAATTGTTCCTAAAAGGAAGATTATGTTGTATGGGGAGCAGTTTGGAAATTAAATGAATGTAACATTTGTACATTGGACAATCAAGAAGGTGTGGCAGATAAATTATATTTCTCTTTAATGGTTGACATAGAAACACCTACTGGTGAAATATTAAAATGCAGAATGTACCAGCAATGTAACAATCCAAATGAACATATAAAATCATGCCTACTACCAAAGCATAGAAGACCTTTACCATTATATCTGTATGTTATATTTAAGTTTGTTAAATTTATTCGAAAAATTTATTACATAATTATTAATTATTCCTTTACAGAGAAACAATATTAAATGGTGCATACGAAAGTAATCAGTTACCATGTGATTACATTAAAGTTTTAGAAAAAATACCACATAATGAATATACAGGAGAATATAATATTGGGTAAGAACAATTTTATACTATTTAATTTTTTTTTTATTTCTATTCTTCTTACCTCAGATCACAGTGGCTATATTTTTTTTTGTTGAAATGAATATTTTTGGATCACAACCTTCCTTTGAAAGAAATCTAAATTCATCGATTTTATGCTTCTTCAAAATGCTTCTTAGCCAAGTCTTTATATAGAAAAAATATCAAAAAATCAACTATTGATTTTGAAGACAATTGCAATTTGAAATTGTAAGGAAAAAACTCAATCAACAAAAAACATCACTGAATGAGTTATGTAAAAAATT